ATGTATACATTTTAATCCCAAGTGTGTGAATGGGGTCCTAACCTCACGCATAAAACAACACAAACACAATCAGATTATAATACATAAGCACCCAGACATATTTAGATATATATACACACAAAAAAAAAAAATTGACGAGACAGGGAACATCTCCACGGCCCTTTATGAAAAAAAAAAAAAAGTGGAAACCAACACATACATACATACATACACAATTAAAAGTGAATGCACTTTCCATACACATAGACACCAATAAATACATGTACACACATCCACAGACATTGACCTAGACAATCAGATACCACAACCAATAAATATTTAAGACTGAAAGTGTCATTAAACAAATGCTAACCACTTATTAAAATATAACTTAAACGAGCAAATACACAAAGATAAAAATGGTTAAAAATAATATTATTTAATATATTAAAAAACGAAAATTCCAAACCGACAAATATCAATATAAACATATATTTTAATCATATAAGTTGATAATAGTTTTATTAGGTGAAAGAAAATAAGATAAAAAGAACTACCTACAGAAATAAGTGTACAGACATACGCATATACATATATACACATATACACAGAAATATGTCTACATACATCTATACACACACACACATATATATATATATATATATATATATATACATATACACTTACATATATGCACATACACATACAGAAGCAAGTGTAAATATATCAACTCACACAGCGTCCTAAAAAACCCCCCAAAAAACACCAGATATAAATATATATACATACATGCACATAAATACAAATACACATAAATACATACATACACATATATACATATTTAAACATACATATACATATACATGCATACACATGCGTATATAAACTAAGTACACAAACATATATATATACCAATACACATATACATAAAAAAAAAACATGCAAACATAAATTCACCTACAGTATTTACATTGTCCTCATCTTTGTCACCATATTTGTACAACATTTTTCAGTTAATATCCATGTTTTTATTTATAAAGGTTCATTTCAAAAAAAACCACCTGAAGGTGGTTGGAATTTCAAATGAATTTTTATATTCATCACTGTGGTAGACTGTTTCTAGTTCCATGTGCCATGTTTGATGGATGTCATTATCAACATATCTCCTGCTAATTTTCCCTCTGAAAGTTTTCCACTATTAACCAGCTATTGAACTCACTTTCTTTGGGTCTGTCACTAGATCTAAATAACACTTTTATCCACTGTGCCATGTGTCCTTATGGACATCTGGGTATGAACTTCTGAGTATTATAAACCTAATGTTTTCAGCATCATTTTTAATTACCAGTGCTCATATTGCAATTTTGCTGTTATCATTGCATGTCTTTTTACCAGAGTTCATATTGCAACTTTGTTATCATTGCTTTTCTCTGGCGCTCCTTATTACTGGTTTCCCATATTGTATTTATTTCTATGCTTGGTCGGCTCAGGAGATTTTTTTCCTAGCATTGTGCTGATTCCTTAAGTTTAAGAATTTTCCAATGGTGTTCCCTGTCTATGATCTCAACATGATCCCACAGGCGGCGGTGATCTCCCTTCTCTCTGCATAGTCCGACTAATGTAAATACTGTACATAATACCTCATCTCAGAAATATAGAGAGACTATAAATTCACCTATATAGACATATATACATACACATATACACATATATACACACATATATATATATACATATACAACCACACATATGTATATACATACATACACACATAAAAATGGGAATATACATACATTCTAACAACATTATCTTAATAACAATAAAAAAGTTCATAATAATTTTATAAAAAGTAACCACATACAGTTGTTGATTAAGTCTATAAGCCATTAAAAAATCCTTATCATACAAGAGTAGATTTTAGTTAGTATCGATGGTATGTTTCAAGACACTGATATATACAGTATTTACATTAGTCGGACTATTGTCCTCATCTTTGTCGCCATATTTGCCATGTTTATATCAGAAATATAGACAAACACTGATATATACATACATACATATATATATACTACAACATACGAACATATATCCACATATACAAATATATAATCATGTATAAATACCCGTATCGACACATCCACATATACACATATATAAGTACACTTCCATCCACTCATATGCCCATAAATATACACACATATACATATACATACATATACATATATACACAGTTGAACACATACAAATACAAATACATATACACATACATATATATACACAAATACACAAACATTCACATATACATATATAAATACATATATATACACACACAAATACACATACATATACAAATATACACACATAGACTTACACACTTGGCAGTAAACACAAACCAAAGTTGACATACCTACACATACACACAATCTCACATATGATAGGTGTCAACAAACATATATACATACACACACATATACACATATATATAATATATATATATATATATATATATATATATATATATATATATATATATATATATATACATATACATAAACATACATATATATATATATATATATATATCATAACAAGTACATATACACATACATACATACATACACACAAATATACACACACTCATATATATATATATATATACATATACACATACACACAAATACACATACAAATACATATATACACACATAGGCATACATATGTGGCAGCAAACACAAACCAACACACATATACATACACATATATATATATAGAAATACATACATATAAATATATAAACATAAATATATACATACATATACATATTTATGATAACAAGTACATATACACATACATACATATATACACACATTTATGCACACATACTCACATATACATATATATATATACACACACACAAATACACAAACATATACCTATATACACACATAGACTAACTCATGTGGCAGTAATGACAAACCAAAGTTTACATACCTACACATACACACAAACAATCTCATGAAGAAAAGAGAAAAAAAGAGAGCAAAAGTTAGGGAGTGGCATAACTAGGGAGTGGCATAACTATGTGGGTATAAATTGTAAAAAAAAACGATGAAAAGGACAAATAATCACAACATTCTACATGTACACCAGACAAGCGCATGGGCACATGTATGGGAACACATGCATGCACTATGAAAAAAAAACTTGCACCAATGAAAAGTGTATATAAAAAAACAAATCAAGACGTATAAGTAGTCAGTTGCTGATACCCTCTGACGAGTGGACAGAGTAATTCCCAGAGAGTCCATTTTTGAAACTCTGGAGTCAGTATGCTGAAGGTAACATCAGTCAGTTAAGTGACAAAACTTTTACTTATATATATATATATATATATATATATATATATATATATATATATAATATAAAAGGCCCAAACACTAATATCCCATGGTTATAATTTATTACATTGGAATTGTAATCATGATCCAATTCATCAGACCTACAAATTGAAAAAGAAATTGGAAAATATAACTCCGGGTATAAAAAACAAAACTTTAGTGAGAGTGTATGTGTGGGAGTGGGAAACAAGTGTGTGAGAGAAATGTATGAAAGCTCTAGAGAGAGGTGTAATGGAAGAAAGAAGAACAGGAAGGCCTAAAGGTGAAGGTGAGGATTAAAATTTAACAGAGAGAAGTTTTAAAGAGAGGAGTTAAATAACAGTTTAAATGAGTGAAATACAGACAAATATGAATTATTTTTTGATGCATAATACACTATTGATTGGCTGACCTAAATTAAAATTAAAAAACAGACACCAGAAACATGTGTATATATATATATATATATATATATATATATATATATATATATTTCATTTTATATATGTAGATGATTAATTTTAGACTGACAGCTTCATATTGGTTATTCTTATGACAATGTTTCAGTTGGTTTTGTCACTGAACTTCCTGAAGATTACCAAATCTGACATATGCCTTAGGAAAGCCAGAAAACAACAACAATAAGGATACTAGTAAAAGAAAATTCTAATGATTTTATTGTTAGTCTACAAGATGCTGGAAACATGGTTGACACATCCTTCTGTTCCAGAAAGAACCTGATTTCTTCTGCCCTGCCTTATCTTTACAAAAGTCAGATTAGACCAAAAATGTCTGTTCTGGAGCTGCCCAATAATCACTTTTCAACCTACAAAAATTATTTACACAGGCTTGAAGGAGGTGAATTATTTTCCACTCTAGAGCCTCTTTCCCCAGAGACACAACATTGACTATTGCTAATCTGTCACTATTTTCATAGCAAATGTTCTGGTAAGTGACACTCTTTAATTCCCCCACTTCAGACCTTTATAGCTAGGACCCACTATGTTACCTCCACAGAATTGAATCTCCTACATTTCTTTCATATTCCATTTGTAAGGAGGAAGTTTCACACAACTTTTTTCCCAAGAGCTGCTACTTTGTGGAACAAACTCCAATATCAATGCTTCCTTGAACACTTAGCTGCTTAAAGTCAAAGGTCACCATCTATCTGCCTTATCCTCATAATCTTCTTTTCCTTCTGCCTTGTATTATATTCATATCACACATCTCATTAAGTAACCCTCTACCATGAATGACGTTTTATCCTTGTATTGGTAGAAATTTAGAAAAAAAAACAAAACAAAAAACAACACAGCATGTCTTTTGGGGTTTAACCAAAAATAGATAGAGTGGAATCACATAAATTTGATTGATTGATTTGTTTTTTACACCTTATCAACCTTTTGCAGGTTATTTAAAGCCAGAATATATTTTTAGATTGTAAAACTTTGGTGAGGATAATAATGATTTTTATAGATACAAGTACTGCTAATTAACTCATAGCTGGGGGAGAAGAGGTGGATTTATAACTTTCCAAAGGGTATTTGCACATAAATGAATATAACAAACCCAACTGGAATTGGAACTTGACTCTCCAACTTCCAATTCTTAGCTGTTAGCCATTACATCACCACACATCCAAACTTACAGCACCTGGTATTCCCAAGCAGTCATTCATCTAGGTACTTACCAGGCTCAATGTTGCTTAACTTCATTGATCATATGAGAAACAGTGTTTCAGCAAGATATGGCCATAAACTATGTGAATTTGAATAGCATAGATACACTAAAGATGACAGGAAGTTGATCAGGAGTTTCTCCCTTTTTAATGGTAAAAAAAAAAACAAATGTTAAAACTTACAGTAAAACCATAACTGCAGTCACACCAGTCTTTGAGTCTGTAATTTTTAGAATCCATTTTTTCTCTCAAAGAAAACCATCATTTTAAATCCTTCCTTCTCTCTCTTCCTAGATGTATAGTATTTGAAGTTCTGATTCCTCTTTTGTTAATGCTAAAGCCAACTCTTTCATCATCACATAGAACTCTCCCATTGCAGATTCCTTCTCCTAGCACTTGTTGATCTCAAGGTCTTAGATTTTCAAATGTTTCTGTTATTTTACTATGTGTCACTTCCGGTATCTCTCATTTCAATGGCTCGCTTCCTTTTCTCCCTAGGTCAATGGAATTTTAATTAGGGAACCCCAAAATATGTGTGTTGCAGTAAGCCTACTCTGGATAGCATAACATTATTTTTATCTAACTATAGCATCACACAATTAGAAATAGTATATATTTTTATTTTATCCTATACAATTACATATTCTACACATTTTTATATGTACATTTGAAGTTTACCAAAAACAATTCTCCATCTACCCAAATCTCTCTATATAGATACAATCAATATATATCAGTGATTTCCAATGTGGGCGGTACTACACCCCTGGAACATTGAGAATAAAGTAAGCAGTCAGAGAGAGGGTAGCAGTGGCACATCTGAATCATAACATACACCACACACATTGTACCTAAAGTGTATCTTACCTTCACATTTACAGTGAATCCCATTTATATAATAATTATGATGGGAAATACTAAGATAGTCATTTGACATGCAATACTAACACCAAGAAAATACAATCTAGGGTTGACTATACATTTGGGGTGGGGGAATTAGGATTATATTTTGGTATGCAAGGGGGCAGAAACCCACAAAAATAGTTTGGTGACCACTGATGTACAGCAAGGTGTGTATTCATTGCTGTTCTGATAGCCGGACCCAGATATATAATTACATTATTTTCAAGGATTATCACTGTGGAGAATTTTTTCTTTTTTTTTTAATCATTTCATCACCAGCAAGGCAATAAAGCTGCTAAGAGTTACTAAAGGTTACTAAGTGTGCATGTAGAGGGTGTGATAGCTACAATTTGTTTTATTAGCCCTAAGGCAGCAATGCCTCTAACTACAGAAACATGAATGAACAAAAGCATGGATTCATGGAACAAACAATAACAACTATTTATTAGGTGGAACATTCACACTGTGGAAAAAAAAAAGAATGAATCTGTCAGAGCAATTAGTTTGTTCTGGAAATGGCAAGCACCAGTCATAAATCAGACATGTAAACTTTTTGGGAGCATATTTGATTTTAGCATGTGAAGCTCATACTTAAAAATAAATCCAATTATCAATAGGTGGATTGTTAGTTCTTGTGTCAAATTCTTTGTCTGGGAGTGGTGAGTGAAATTTTATGACACCAATGTGTTAAGCAGACATGTTGTTCCTGGTCTGTCAATGTGGTTGCTTCTTGGCTGCTGTTATACTGCTAATTATTTAAATTCTGATTCTCCTCAGCTTATGTCAGTAGAGATAGGCTCAACTTGAACACAGTTTTAGATTCTCAATCTTTGTTTGAATGGCCAATGTTGAATCCTTAATTGTGATTTGTTGGTTTTGTTATTTTACTGAAACTACCTCTGTGCATTGTTTACATTACAGCATCTAATTGTGTAAGTTCACTAATACTTTAATCTTGGCTGTATCCGTCTGTATGTGGGAAAATATCTTTTAGGTTTTTGGACGTGCGACATGAGAGAATATGAGAAAAAGAAAACATTATTAAGGAGAAATAACAATAAAAGAACAGGACTTAAGAATACAGAAGATAACAATTGGCCTTGACATTGAAGCCAGAAGAGAGTTCCACAAGCAAGAAGTGTGAAGGAAGAAACCGTTAGCATAGGAAGAGTAGACATACTTTTTATCCTGTGCTCATTTCAAGAATCTTGGTCAATGATTTTTGGCATACACAATGTCATATTTTATTATGCTATTCAATGATTCCACAATTGGTGCAAACCAACCAATGTTGTAAAAAATTTTCAAGATATACTCATATGAGTAATATATCATATGAGTTTCAGCTTATAATATCTATCCTTATTAAAAGTCTTGAAAATAAGTTGTTTTTTATTTTGTGGTGTGAAACATTTTATTTTGCAACATGCAGCATACATTTTTATTGATAAAAATCATCATCATCATCATCATCATTGTCAATCCCATGACTGGGTGCAATGATAGGGTCACTGCGCAGCTGAGTGTCTGACCAGGTTCCTCCATATGTCTCTATTGCACGCCAATGTCTGAGCCTACGTGATAGATCTTCTAGTCTGCTCTGGGATGATTTCAGCCCATTTTCCCTTTGTCTTCACTTCTTCTTTTGCCTAAGGTGCCATTTTATAGGATGAAGGTTATTGGCACTTATGATATGTCCATACCATTTCAACTTTCTCTTCTTGAAGGTGTTTTTGAGGTCTCCAATGTGCCTGTTTCTTGTCTGATGGTGTCTCACACTCTATTATTTACGATTCAGGCCACATATGAGATGCCCATGATGGTTCTGTAGCATCTCATTTCTAATGCTTGGATTCTTCACTGTAATTCTGCTGTTTAATATCCAAGATTCACAGGTGTTCAGAAAAATTGACAAAGCCAATGCATGCAACAATCTGATCCTTTATTTCAAGTACATTTTTTTGCAGATGACTCTTAGTTTTGCAATAGCTACCACTGTGCTGCGTTTTAAATTATTTCTGTTCTGGAGCCCTCTTTGCTAATACTCAAGTCAACATTTTTGAATTGGCTTACTATTATAAGTTCCTAATCAACGACATTTATCTTGGTCAAAAACCCTTCCATATTGTTCGTCACGAAGATTTGAGGGTGGAGGAAGATTTTGATATAAGCTAAAAAAATATATATTTTATTAATGCAACATCCAATATACCTGAATAAATTATTATTTTATTATAAATTTTATTTTATTACTTTTTGCATTAATATAGGCTCTTTGACATATAGAATGTCAAAGAGCCTATATTAATGTAGAAAATAATACTTTCATCAGTCTTTCATTCATTGATTTTGTTTGCTTTTCTAGAATTTCAACTTTACCATTAATTACAGCAGATTTCATTGGTTCCCTGAGGTCTTTGCTTGAATGTTATTTTCTATCATAATATACGTTGCTTTTTCTATTGGATTAATATCTGGAGAGGCAGAGACATTCCATTAACTTGGTGTACTTAAAATCTATTTTGGCAAGGTGGGCAATAGTCTGATTTGTAGAATGTAAGAAGCATTGTCTTGCATGAATATGGTCTTTTAGTTTCTTGGTTGTGACCTATATCAATCAAAAAACATCAAGACTAATAACTTATAATAATTCTCAGCATTTGCCTTGATACCATTATTATCAACTTTGAAGATAAGATACTTATAATTTTATCACCCTCAATACTCATCCCTCTGTTGTCTTCAAAGATATGTTGGTTGACTATTTCCATGAAAGACCCAACCTATAACCTAGAAATCAAGTCCATCCAATGTAGCTCTACATTCATCACCAAAAATTACTGTTAAGAAGTCAGTTTCCATGTACTTCTTCAAATATTCCCTTGCGAGTGAATTTCTTTTTCTTTTAACTTTTTTCTAATCTCTTTTTGGAACATTCAAAGGTCAATTTTCTCTTGTTCTTATCTTGCCAATGTTTCACAATTATTTTTTCAATTGCTCTGGGATCTTTGCCCAAATTTCCCACATTTTTCGTCATTGAGTTACCATCACTCAATAACTTTACTATATTATATTTCCTTTTTGATATTATATCTTTCTTATGATCCATGACAATATTTATATCTGAAATTAAAATTAAATATCAATTACTATACTATTATATATATATGTGTGTGTGTGTGTGTGTGTGTGTGTGTGTGTGTGTGTGTGTTAATAAATACAGATATACCTATGTTTGATGTGTAACTTGAATTTTGTTGGCTAGCAATACATCGGGCACAAGATATCGCTTATTGTTTATTTTAAAAAGTATACAGAAAGTAAATTTTATTTAAAAAGGTATACAGAAAGTAAGCAATAAGTGATATCTTCTGTCTGATGAATTGAGTAACCAACAAAATTCGAGTCACACATCAAATGTAGGTATATGCATATTTATTAACATATATTTCTTAGCTCTGTCTAATCACATTGAGCACTATTATGCCTACACCTCTTGGCTAAATTTGGTAATTATTTATTTGCTTACCAGCGTATGCATGCCAGCACATGCATATACCTGTCACTAATATCTAGTTATCTCATTTACCTAACCCTATATCTATATAGAGAGAGAGGAGGCACAGTGTGGTGGATCAGAAAGCCGAGTTCAAATTCCAGTCAAATCCATTACATTCACTTATGTGTTAATACACTTAGGAAAGGTATTAATTCTATTCTTCTCCCTCTAGCTATTGGTAAATAGCAGGAGAGACTGGGTTATATAGCCTTGGATGGCAACTGGTCTAGGAGAAGGATAACTCTGAATTCAAAACCTGCGGAGGGTCGTTTGGGGATGTTGTGGCACATAGTGCACCAGGTCTCTGTATTCAGCCCTTCAAAAAGTGTGGATGGTTCTGCACAAAACCTTCACCACTATAATCAAATCATATGTGCTGGTGTCTGGACTGTTGATTCCTAGGAACTGAGTTGCTTGACCCTCGTACGTCGAATATGTAGTCCACTATATATATCTATTTATTTATTTGCAATATGATGAACAACTCTTAATTTGTATAATAAAATCGCACACTTTCAAAGAAGTAATTGTAAACATTTCATATAAAAATAGATATGCTGAAATTCACATGATATAGCTATGGCTGGTTACTACTCTTTTTTGTACATACCCAGT